CTTCTCTTCTCTTCTCTTCTCTTCTCTTCTCTTCTCTTCTCTTCTCTCTTCTCTTCTCTCTCTTTCTTTCTCTCTCTTTCTCTTTCTCTCTCTCTCCCCAGTGGCACCGTAGTCCAGGTGTGTGTGTATGTGTGTGTGTGAGAGAGAGGGGGGGGGAGAATGAACTTAATTCATGAACATATTTTAGCCATAATGAGCCATTAAATGTTGTTTTTCTGTATAGATAAATATTCATTACTAGACACAGAACAAAGTAGAACTAAGTAAGCCATTTAAATATTTCAATTCTGTTGATGCCTCATTAGTCATATTTTGCAACACAGATTTAAGAATGGTCACAACAGTAGACTGTCTGAGTAGAAAAATGTAAAATATCTTCTGTTATTCTAGGCTAGTTTTTATTTGCATGCTAAAATCTAGGATTATGTTACAAATGCAGTTAGTATCAGGAAATGTCACAAGTGCATCTTCACCAGTGTAAATGAAGAGTGTATTAAAAATACCCATAAATTGTTATTATTGTACCTCCAAGATTTTTAATGACCCCATTTCCCATTTTCATAGACTTAGGTTATTCATACCACAAGATTTCGGGTGGTGCTTTCTATTCTCATTAGAATGCATTAAAATAGTTTAAGAAATAACAGCTGTGAACTCCAGCAATGAATGACATTGCTTCTTTTAAGAAGCATAAACCAGAATAAATTTTTAATGGGCAGAGAATGGTTTATAGTAATCTGCTGTTGGTTCCTCAGAAATATGTGGTGAATGTCATGTACAACTTAAGATGACATTCACTTATGTACTACAATTACCTATGTTACATCTCTTAAAACTTGCTAGGAATCTTTTTCCCCCCTATGTATTTATCCTAGAGGGCATCATTACTATATTAAGCATTCATCTAGAAAATCAAATTCAGTAAACAGTTATTACGACTTTTCCCAAGAAACCTGGTGTCTGTAGTTATGATTTCTGAGAACGCTATTAATGATTCTCTTTAATCTAAATTACAATATTGGGTTTTCCTCAGGGAAAGCCATGCTGGCAATTAGTATGCTTGCAGAAATTTATAGTATATATAATTCTGAGTGACAAACAGATTTCATTATTTCAATTGTGTCCTCTTTGTTATTATGCCAATTATTTGGTTTGCTGGAATAAAATACTATACTTTGATTAACACCAAATTTAAAGGTGGTGGTAGTGGAAAGAATACAGAGTGAAAGAATTGAGATGAATAGCCATAGGAGCAGATGATTATCCTTTCAGACATACTTTGCAAATTTTAAATTTTTTGGTATTTTACTGAAGTTTTACTTCATGCAAATGTTTATACAAATGTATTGTCTCCTCCAAATTGGCATGATCAAAAATGTTTTGGGCAGCCTCCGCCAATCCTACATTTGTACTTCTTTCTTTTGCCCAGAAATGCCATGTGCTAGATTTTTTTATTATTATTATTATTTTCTTATAACAAATATTAAGTTGAAAGAACAATGCCAGATTATTGTAGGTGGCAAAAATACCCAAATTGCACCAGTAACAGCAAAATCAACATTACATAAGAACTAAAAAAAAAAAAATGTGAAGATATTGTAATAGAAACTGTTGTTATGTGTCTTGATAATTAGAACAAAACTTTATTCATTTGATATTAATCATTTACTTGAGACTTCCATAAATTGACACTCAACATAATTTTGGCCAAGAAAGTACATATGTATGTCTATTGTTATTATGGTTCACAACACAAAAAATGCTTTCTGGATCCATCTAATCTACTATTGCCAAAAATGCATTCAGAAAACACATAAACCTAAACATATTTCAGATACTCTTTCAGAAAAAAATATTATACTTATACAAGATAGGATGATAGCAGAGATGTCACACTGAACTTGCAAAATTATCCTTGCCTCAGAACTATTTTTTGAAAAGAGCAAAACAGGATTGTGCAGTGTCAGGGAGGAACACATACATTTCATGAAAAATAATGTAAATACATCTTACAATCCAGTCCTGAAGATTTAGCATAATGAGCCATTACATGTAATGTTGTTTCTACATTGACACAGATTCATTATCAGACTGTGCATAGTGAGACTCTAAAGCATCAATGTTTTGAGAGCATTACTTATCTTTCCCTAAATCTCCTTTTTTTAAAATTCCGCAATCCAGCTAATGCCTCTAAGTTTATATATTTCATTCTCTTCTACTAATAATGTAGAATTCATCATTAAGAGTAAGAGCCTAATTTCACATGAATCTGTATAGTCCCCCCTTTTAAAACCTTTTAGACTGATTATCAGCATGCCATATGGCAGCAAATTCCATATTTAACTTTATTTATATTTTTGTTACATTTATATGACCTCCCATCTTGCAATAGCGACCAATTTAAAAATCAGTACAATACAGTAACTCAAAATGAAAATGAAAAACGAACAACACTAAACAAAAACAAGTAAAAAAAGAACAAAACAAAAACCTATGTGTTATAACACCTTCTTTTTATTTTTAATCTCAGCATAAACTGTAAACCAAATTAGGACAAAGAACTTGCTGCGTTATTCTGCATTTAGTTTCAGTACACTGCCCTGAGTCCAATATTTTCAAAGATAAAAACATTTTCCTTTCAGCTTATGTATGTTCCTATATTAGATAGACTTTGGAAAAAGTGCAAAGAAGAGCAAGATGATTAAAGGCCTGGAGACAAAAACATATGAAGAATGATTGCAGAAATTGGTTATGGGTAGTCTAGAGAAAATAATGACGAGGGGTGACATGATATGCAGTGTTCCAGTATTGAGGGGCTGCCACAAAGAAGAGGTGGTCAACTTATGTTTCAGAGCACCAGAAAGCAAGACAAGAAGCAATAGATGGAAACTAAATCAAGGAGGGAAGCAACCCGGAATTAAGAAGAAGCTTTCTAACAGTGAAAACAATTAACCAGTGGAAAGCTTGCCTTCAGAACTTGTGGGTGCTTCATTACTGGAGGTTTTTAAATAAAGACTGGACAGCCACCTATCTGAAATGGTATAGGGTCTTCCGCTTGAGCAGAAGGGGTGGACTAGAAAACTTTCAAGATCCCTTCCAGCTTTATTCTGATTAAATATATGTCCTTACCAGTGGTGGATTCAGTTATTTTTACTACCGGTTCTGTGGGCATGGCTTGGTGGGCGTGGCATGGCAGGGGAAGGATACTGTAAAATCTCCATTCCTTCCCCATTCTAAGGGAAGGTTACTGCAAAATCCATTCCCTCTCTACCCCATTAACTTGCTTTCCAGCTCTGTTCTCCTGTGCAGGGCAACAAAAGAAGACCCAGCCGATCAGCTGGGACTCGGGAGGCAGAGAATAGTTGGGGGCGGGGCCAGTCAGAGGTGGGATTTGCTGGTTCTCGGAACTACTCAAAATTTCCGCTACCGGTTCTCCAGAACTGGTCAGAACCTGCTAAATGCCATCTCTGCTCCTTACTGTCCTACATCCAAGTGAAAAAAAAAAAGTTTGAACATTGTAATTTTCCCATCTAGGAGAGTTATTTAAGCCCCTAATGCATTAATTGCTTTTTTTTGCAACTCTACTATATCCCTTTTTAAAAGACAGTAACCAAGTTAGCATTATAATTGTGATTTCCATTTGAAAGGTCAATGTTTGTTTCTTAAAAGCAACATGGGCGCTTTTATTTAATCCATCACTACAAAAGCAGAGGGGAAAAGCACCAGGCCAAACGTGTACCGTAGGCAATCAACAGTGTATTTGTGTCAAAGTACATTTGAGGTGGGCTGAGTGTGAAGAAATTGTAGCTGTGATGACCTATTAGACATGGATTGAATAATAGATCCTACCTTCATGCAGCAAATATAGGGACAGCATTTATTTAAAATTCGACCTGCCTTGGAAGTTAGGTTTATGAAGATGGAGGGAATAATAGTACTTTATGAAATAACTGGCAAATAGTCACACAGTCAGACCTTTGTTATAATTCCCCGTTTCCAAAATATAAGTGACATATTTCTCTTATAATTAATTTTCGGAAGCAATTAGTTTAGGGATAGAGAACAGATTATGAGATTATAGAAGTGCGTGTAGCTGCAGCTGAGAACAGAACAGGCTGTGTCACTGGAGAAAGTAAGTGAAAGCTGAAATGATCAGATTAAAATGCAAGGCTTTTTGGATCCACTGTTGTAAAATTGAAGTGTTCAAAATACACATCACCTTCAGTAGTCCTTGTTCAATGAATACCTGTTCAGCAATTGTTCAAAATTACAACAGTACCATGGCCCATGGTCACATGATTGCGATCTGGCTCACACTTATGATGGTGGCAGCATTCTGCAGTCATGTGATTGCTCTTTGTAATCTTCTCTGCCGGCTTTCCACCAGCAAAGTCAATGATGAAGTTACCAAGGAAGGTCACAAGTCCTTCGGGTAAGTCTTCCCCACCTGGCAGCAATCACTCCTAGCTCTGCCATACTCAGGATGCAGCTTGTGCATCCTCCCCTCTCTGGCAGCAACCATTCCCTTGCCTGTTGGGAGCCTCCCAACACTCCATTCAATATTTACATTCATGCACTCTCATTTCAGATGCTGGGAATAACACAGTTGGAAGGGATCTTGTAGGCCATCTAGTACAACACCATGCTCAAGTAGGGGACCCTGTATCATTTCTGACAAGTGGCTGTCCAGTCTCTTCCTGGAAGCTTCCAGTGATGAAGCTCCCACAACTTCTGAAGGAAAGCTGTTCAACTGGTTGATTGTTCTCAAAGTCCGAAAATTTCTCCTTATTTCTAAGTTGAATCTCTCCTTGATCAGTTTCCATCTATCATTCTTTGTCTGGCCTTCAGGTGCTTTGGAAAATAGGCTGTTCCTCTCCTCTCTGTGACAGCCCCCCAAATATTGGAACACTGCTATCATGTCACCCCCGGTCCTTCTCTTCACTAGACTAGCCATGCCCAGTTCCTGCAACTGTTCTTCATATGTTTTAGTCTCCAGTCCCCTGACCCTCCTAGTTGCTCTTCTCTACACTCTTTCTAGAATCTCAACATCTTTTATAGTGTGGTGATCAAAACTGGATGCAGTGGCCTTACTAAGCCTTTATAGATCAATACTAGTATCTCACCTGACCTTGATTCAATCCCTTTGTTGATGCAATTTAGGATTGCGTTGCCTTTTTTTGGCTGCTGCCATATACTGCTGGCTCCTTTAACCCCTTTAACAACCTGCATTCCTTGCTTAATGGCAGGACTAAGGAATGCCAGAAGTGGTGTCACTAAGCAATGAGGTCACATGACATTATGCTTTACAACCTTATGACGGAGTGATAGAAATGTCAGGGCGAATTACTGTCATTAAGTAAGGACAACCTGTACGTAAGGGAATGAGATGCAGAATATAAAGTTTGAATGGTAGAGAATACCATCCTATTCCATTCTTTCCCCTGGCCTGGGGAATGTACCCTTATATCTGCGATTTTCCTTCATTATTTTGATACTGCTGCCAAATAGCTATTAACTACTCAAGCTGTTCAATTAACTGTCTAGAATCACACTGTGAGTGAGAGAGGTGGTAACTAAATTTGACAAATAAAAAACAAACAGCTCGAGTGAAATATTTCATCACTTGCTCCTGTCAATAGAGAAGAGAGATCATTCCCTCAGTAAGGCTTGTCTGTTTGCTCGCAAACCATTTTATGGCCTCAGCATCTTTTCAGGTTTGCCTCAGTCCAAGCAGATATGCTGACCAGAATGTTACATTAGCACATGCGGCCTCCTCCTTTCAGCAAGCATTCAAGCAAATGCAAGCAGCAGAATCTCTTTTACCTCACGTTCTCTTTTCGGTGAACCGTCACATACATTTCATAAACTCTCCCCTGAGGAATCGCCCCCGCAGGAATCAGCAAACTTACTCCTATAGAACAAGATGACAAAAGAGAGAGAGAGAGAGAGAGAGAGAGAAAGAGCTGAAGCAAATAAAAGAGAAGGGAGAAACCACCTGAACTTTTGAATAATATGCTTTTTTGGAGATTGACAGGATTTTACCAGGACTCTTGAAATAGAAATGGGATTTTTACAGCCATCTTAATAGATGTAGTTTTCTGACTTGTTGGTGCCTCAGTGTTTGCCTTCTGCATTCTAGGAGTCTGAAACTGCTTTTATTTTATTTAAGAAATGAACAGATGGTTATACTGCTGCTTAGACTGTAAAAATGAGGAGGGGAAAGCCCAGAGTTGCATTTACTATTCCAAACAGTAGTAATGGGATCATTGTTCTTGGCAATTCTTATTTAATGAAACTTGGAAAAAAGGGCAACGAAACATTGCTCATGAAACAACAGTAGTCTCTTTCATGTTCCTGAGGATATCAGCTTTATCTGGTCATTATTCACCATTTAGATGAACCAATGTAAGTTTGGTTACAGAATAGGGAATATTCGTTGACTTTTTTTTATTACCAGCAGCTTGGAATATTTGTTAGAGTGTAGCTTAAAACACAGCCTGTAAAAGTATGCTGTCAAAATGCAATTAAATTGTAATCATTTAAGATGATAGCTGCAAAATTAAAGGTACTGTTAAAAATCTCTCAACTAGTTCTAGAATCCTTACCAGATCTTCTCCTCTGAGAGGAAGTCTTTAGGCAGGTGTGGTAGGGATACTAAAAATCCTAAAAGTGCTTTTTCAAAAGTCAACTGGACTGTTTTTCATTGAAGATGTTTCCCTTCTCATCTAAGAAGCTATTTCAGTTTCAGTTCATTCAGTTTTTGCAACTGAAGAAGCTTCTTGAATGAGAAGCAACATTTCTTGAAGAAAAACCAAAGTCTAGTTGCCTTTTGAAAAAGCACCTTTGGGGCAACCATGACCAGGATGGCTGAGCATCTCCATAGTCATTTAGGGATCCTAAAGTTTCCATTGGTGAACATTCTTGTGAGTTCAGGAAGCAATCACGTTTCCATTGGTATCCTTTCATTTCAGATATTCTAAATGGGAAGAAGAGCATCTGGGTGATGGGAGGAAAATGATGTGTTATCTCCGTGACCCTGATCAATATATGCTTATGAGAATGTTTGCAAGCTCCAAGACAGAGAGATAAACAGGTAGAGAGTTTGCTAGGGGTTAGGTGCTGTCCTCATGACCATTCAGATTCAGACACCAACAAACTCCCTCAACATCATTCCTGGCCCGTTGGTCTTGTCCTGCTATGTTTTGTATATACAGACTATGATATGGTCTCAGCAGCTAAATAAGCACATTAATGAACAATGATGATAATACACTGAATATTCCCTACCTTCCCTTTCTAAAACCCCTCCTGTATGGGAAGGTTCCCCCCAAATCCAGTAAGAACTTCAGTCCAACTAAGAGCAGTGGTGGTACAGTGGTTAGGATGCAATATTGCAGGCCAACTCTATTCACACTGCCAGGAGTTTGATTCCTTCTATCCTAACCTAAGGTTTTGACTCAGCCTTTAATTCTTCTTAGGTTGGTAAAATGAGGACCCACATTGTTGGGGGCAATATGCTGACTCTGTAAACCTGCTTAGAGAGGGCTGTAAAGCACTGTGAAGCGGTATATAAGTCTAAGTGCTATTGCTACCTTGTTCTGTGTCACAACATCCCTTCTTATGAGGAGACAGAACTTCACACGCAAATGAGTTTATTGGAATACCTGCAAATGGTCATTATAATTATGGAAGATAATTAATTTAATTCCACAATGCATTTTCTTCTTCATTATTGGGTTATTTCCCCCTATTTGACCTTCAAAGAGTTCATTTATCTTTAAAATATAAATAAATAAATTCTGAGGTTGCAAATGCAGAGAGAAAGAACTATTGTATTATAAACATCTGCCTTCTGACTGAGCTGGAGGAAACAAACAGAAATTTGGAATGGATTTCTTTCTTATAATTAGTTTGTTCTTTTTATGTCAAGTGAGAACAGAACTCTTTTTGCCTTGAACTTCAAGGTTTTCTCCCTCTTCCCTCTTTTTTAATTGTGATACATGAAAGGGGAAAAAAGCCAAAGGGCTGAGCATCCTACTTCAAATAAGTTGACAGTTTAAGGTCTCTATCTGAAGGCAATGACTCAGAGTTCTGCATTTTTCTCCTTCAGAAGAAGTTAGAAGTTAGTGAGAAGAATATGTATAATAGCCAAGTAAAATCAAATGGGAGAAAAATATTTCTCTGATTTAAATGTAGGATACAGCTTTCTATAATGATGCAAAATCTTTGCTAGAGTGGAAAAAAAACAACCCCCACAATTCTGGAAATAACACGAGAAATGTTCTTTGAAAGCAAATGGGTGTAAATAATAATTTACCTGAGTTGGGTACAATCAGATGACCCCCAAGAGAGTTGAAGGTCCCAAAAGCAGTGCACGATGGGTCTGTCTGCCGTGCAAGGCTCTGATTTTTAATGTTTAATGCTTCATTATCCAGTAGGGATTGGGTAATCTGTGGAGAGAGTTTGGTTGAAAAATCCGACAGCTCATCCTGGGGTGTGACTGCACTTGAATTGTTGTAAACTTTGATCTTCAAGTTGGGCAGGGGATCCAGGATTGGAGAATTGGTCATTGGAATTTTATCAGAGACGTCATGCAAAGCATAAACTGGGCCTCTGTACATAGCTGCTGCAGAAGTAAGGTCAGGAGGAACAGCTAGGAGATCTGTTTTAAAGAAGAAGAAGAAAAAAATGCAACATTAAGGTCAAGAAGCTATGGCCTCAACAACAGCATTCCCATCAGTCCCTGTCTGGATTTGATATGAATGAAACCCTCAGAGTTTCCAGGACAACTTTGAACATACGGTGTTAAAAAAAATGCGCTCATAAACTACAGATAAAAAGTAACTTCTATTAGTCAGGAAAGGCTTCACTAAATCATGACTGAATCTCAGGTTTGGCTGTGGAACTTGAAATCTGAAAATGTTTGAAAATATTAAGCTGCTGCATGCAGCCAAAATTATGTGAGTAGTAATGTAAGCAGCAGTGGTGGGATTCAATTTTTTTACTCCCGGTTCTGTGGGCATGGCTTGGTGGGCGTGGCAGGCGAAGGGTACTGTAAAATCTCCAGTCAGAGGTGGTATTGCTGGTTCTCCAAACCACTCAAATTTTCTGCTACCGGTTCTCCAGGACTGTAAGAACCTGCTGAATACCACCTCTGGTATGTAGTCATACTAAGGCATTTCACATATGAAGATTCACCTTTCCAGGTAAGAATCTGATGTTTTTCCAGATGATTTCTGCACATCATGGTTATGGGTAAAGACATGATTAAGTGTTCCTAAAATAGGGTAGAAGGGAGCAGGGCTGTAACAGAAGCAGCTTAAATACTTGAATTACCTGTAATCAATAATTTCTCATAGATGTGGTATATCAACCTGCAGTTCTAGAAATGTCCCAAAGTAGAACTTTTTTTCCAGAAAGGGCAGCAAAGATTCCAAAAGCATTGGCAGAATAACTTTTGACTTTGCACAGCAGTTGCAGACCAGCAAAGTGATCAGCGAAATTGACAGAAATATTGGGAAGAGACAAGAAAGCTCCTGCAATGTCAACATGGCAGAAAACAGATGTAGGAGATTGTAAAGGCTTAAGAACTAGCCAATGAAAAGAAATCCCCAGGAGGCTGATAGGGCTGAGAAAAGATGTGAAAAGTACTATATCCTGAGCCTTTGAAAAGTGGAAAATACTTTGTAGAAGTTTAATCAAACTGGAGAACAACCTTGTCAATCTTATACCATGCAATATAGGAAGCATCTTGTTATAGTGCACAAATAGCACAAGTACAAACTATCATCTATCATCATGCAAAGGTACAAAAGATAGTGTAGTAGAATACTCTAATGAGTTAGAAATGAAATAAGTAAATAATCTATGAGATAAAACTGTATTGTTATGTAATGGTATGTTTATTTATAATTAATGCAATAATAAAGAAAAGAGGGAAACATTGTAATTGTTTCTAAAGATTGATAAAATATTGAAAAGAAATGTGAAAGATTTATAAGGAAATTTATTCCAGTTACTAGAATGAATTTGAATAATTAATTTGCTTATTAATAGTAAATAACTTATAAGATAAAACTGTATGACTATCCAATGGTATGCTTATTAACAGTTAAGTAATAATGAAGAAGAGGGGGAAACATTTCAACTGATAAATATTGAAAAGAAATGTGGAAGATTTACAAGGCTCATACCAGTATTAGAATGAATTTGAATAACTATTTTGTTCACTAATGTTTATATATGTATATTGTTTTTGCTATGTTTTTAGAATTTTTCTTTTTACATTTTTAAGGGGAAGTACCAAGCAGAGTCTGAATGATGAGATTTACATGATATAAAATAGATTAGAAATTTGAATGTTATAATTTTAGAATGCACAAATTTAATGTTTAATGAAATTTCATGATAATAACAATAAGACTTAAAGGTGTTACGCTCCGATTGGCAATCACAGAGGGAATTTTGCTTTTTAAGAATGTTGGAAGAGAACATAATGAAATTGTAAACAAGACAGACGAAAGTACAAGTATAATGAATAAAAAGTTATAGAAATTTAGGTAAAAGAAATACAATTAACTAAGAAAAAAATGAGATAATCATAAAAGAAAATTAAGAGAAGTAAAGGGAGAAATAGTGAGAAGTTGGAAAAAGAGTAATAAGATATGAAGTTGAATATATAAGATGAATATGCATATGAAATTGTGTCTGTATGGAAATGTGATAACCCGGAACCATGCTGTACTCAAATAAGATGTTTTATTTGTTTTGTTAAAACTTAATAAAACTTTATTTAAAAAAAAGACAGTTGTTAGGCCATATGTTGTTATAGAAATAGACAGAATTGAAGTTCTAGGATGTGAAGGTTCCTTTCTTCAAAAGTTCATAAAGCTGAAATCTGATGGGGCCTACAAGATGCCCCTTCCAGTCAATCTACTGTGTTTATCTGCAGTAGATATGATCTGAAGTGGTCTTACAAGCTAGATGTCAGACCTGTCACAGCTTAAACCTCTAATTAGAAATGATCCTTGATTCCATTGGTTGAGAATGGTATAGTTTATTAGAAGTCAAGCGTATTGCAGTAAAGCATATCCAGAACTGAAAATCATATGTCAAAATCCCTAAGTTCAACTTTTCCCTCCCTTAATTTATGCTTCCATATCCAATCAGGTTTAAGCAAGATGTTTTCAGAATGGTCACTTCAAGCCTAAGTTGGAAGGCAGCTGCCTTCTCCCAACCAGGTGACCTTGAAGCAGCATCCCATCCACACTTCCCAAAGTTCATGGCAGACTGTCGTCACAGGGTAGCGAGGCAAAAGCAAGTGTGAGGTGGCAGCTGACACTAGATTGCATTGATTTCCTTGCTAAGTAAAGGACTCAATAGAGAGTATGGCAGAATGAAGAAAAAGCTGCAGCAGCAAAACCCATAGAAACCAGTTGTGGAGTGAATGAAGTCAGAAAGGGAGAGAGGAAATATAAACAAGTATTGTATAGGCCATAGGCCAGTCAACATTTAATCATAGAATGCTCCCAAACCCAGGTTGGCCATTCAAAGCGTTCTGGTCTTGAAAATAGCGTTTCAAGATTGTAAGATGTTCCAGACCTTTTGGAATGTCTCATTTTGAGGTTGAAGTACCTATTTACAGGTCAGACTATCACGATAAAATTCACTGAAAAGCCACAATGAATTTTTGAAGAAGAGCAGAAGCATGTCAGGAAATAGATTTTATGTTATCTTCCTCCCCAAAATTTGTTTTTCTAGGCTATAAATTATTGGATAGCACATGGCTACCATGTAGCTTTCATAACTCTGAACAATTTAATCATATTGCTATTGAAATGAATAAGGAGCGGATTCAGGTCATTTTTTTAATTTTTATTTTCCATCTTCTAAAAAGTTTCTTTGAATCGACATGGGAAGGGACTTTCCCCTCAGAGAAGGAGGACACGCAAAGTGGCAGCAGTGATAATAGAATAAATTGGAAGAGCTGGAAGAAGTGAGAAAATTAAACAGATTCTTTCTTATTTAGTATCACAAACTATTCTAAAAATATGAGTTCCAGGTATACTTGTAAAATAAGAAACAGACATCCTGCGATCTCCGAAACTTAAAATTACATTTAATGTACTTACTAAGCTTTCGTCAGCCTCTGCTGATATTGTCAGAGTATTAAGCTACCATTACAGAGATCTTTGCCTTTATATATCATTAATCAATTTAGCCCTTGCACGCATAATAGGCCCTCTCAACTGCCTCCCATCCATAATTAGCTCTGTTGTTTTTGCTTCCTTTGTCATGTTGGTTAAAGGAGACTTATCTCTTGTTGTTGCTTTCTCCTGTGCCCGACCCAAGCCTGGAATGCTTATCTCTAGGAGGTGATGTTAACATGCCACCTATTGCAATTTGTTGCTTTGCTCATGACCTTGTAGTTGGCCCAGCTCGTTCTTCATTATTCCTGTCTGCTATAACTTGAGGCAGCTTTACCGAGCTCCTCTGTATTTAGACAGGCCTGGCTGTGCCTTCATAGGATGGGTCCACATGCCCAGGGATGGGAGGGGTGGCATCGGTCCCTGCTTCCCAATGGGAGGTGGTCCCTGCTCCCAATGGGAGACCAATGGGAAGTGGTCTCTGCTCCTCCTACAGGGTCTTTCCTGGTGTCTCAGTGCTTGGTAGGCTGGTGATGGTTCGATATGCGTACTGATAGAATTGCTATTGGAAAACCAGGCTTCTTTTAAAGGCATCCTCCTTTAGTTATATCACGGGCAACAACCTCAGCTTCTTGAAAGCTGAATGTGTGATTAGGCTCCCGCATATGTGCCCAGATCTGAGAGCACTGTTCTTTGCGCCGGACAGCTAGTTTGTGTTCATGTACCCTGGTCTGTAGCCACTTGGTCGTTTCCCCTATGTAATTGCTTGCACAATAACTACAGTTATTTAGTACTGCATATAGGAGACTATCAGAGCTTCTGGGGGAAATTCAAAAGAATCAAAATGTTCTGGGTGTTTTATAATTTTCTTATTCATTTGGCATTTCTTATTGTTCATGTAGTTTCCTCTACAGCATAGAAAAATGTAATCCTTGCATGGCTGAATTCTATGGGTTACATGGATCTTCATGGAAAATCTTTCTTCTCAAAAACAAATCCTGAAAAATGGCCAATCACAGGTCTATCATATTAGGTCTCTAGTAAATAAACTTTACTAGAGACACAGGTCTCTAGTAAATAAATAAACTTATCAGAAATAATTCTATAGACCAAACTAGTGGAAGTTATCTTGGTACTGCAAAGCTAAATAGAAAAGGGAGAGGAATTTGGAAAGGACTGCATTTCACCACCCAAATTATTTTTTCTTTAAATCCTACACAGGATATATAATTGATAAAGAGTCCCTGATTAAAGAACTCACAATTTAGATTGGGTAAGAGGAAAGAAAAGGTAATGATTTTTTAAAAAAGAAGAATGCAGAAGAGGGACAAATGACATTAGTTCTTATAGATTAAGTTTTCTAGATAAATTTATCTACAGGATATTTAGTTGGAGAAATCTGGTTTATGGCATATTTCTAAATTTTGTTAATGGTGACTGGAAACAAACAAATGGCGCCTGTCTTGCAGCTTTTGTTTAAATTTTGTTAATAGTGACTGAAAACAAACCTTGTCTTGCAGCTTTTATATTTACAGGCTGAAATCCACCATTTAGTGCCGAGGAATCTATAATATCTGACTCGAAGTCTCGATGGTTCTTCCGGTAGATGAATAATGCAACAGTTACCGAAATAGCCAAGCACACAATCACGGCTATCACAATGCCAACGTAGAGAGCGACATCATCCGAATCAGGAGCAGCTAGGAGGGGAAAAAATAATAATTGAAACACAAAAGTAGAACATATTAATTGTCCCACATATTTCTATCAGCTCCTATAGGTGTTTATTATAGTTTTGCATGTTAATTTGAAATTGAATGCTCTGCCACATGATTTTGGAAGGAGGAAAAAATATTCAAGGCTTTAGTCATAACTGTTTTCTTACTCTTTGTCTATGTGTATTTTTTTTGTCTTGGAGGCAGGTAAATTAACACATTGTTTATAAATAGACTGTCAAGGCAAATTTAATCAAAAGAGCCATTTAGCACTCTTTTCGGTGCTAATGTATTCAGCGGGGCACCTGTTAATAAAAGAGGCTATATTTCCTTTTGGCATACTGAAGCTTAATTTTTAAAAGTAAATAAATCTTAAAAGAAAATAAATGGGAAATGGTGGTATGCCTGATAGACAGCTTGCCTATTTCTTAAAGGAAATACTTTGAGGACAGCGCTCCATAATATGAAGACATAGAAGTAACTGTATGTTAATACTTTTCAAATGTGCATGTATATTTTATTTATTTGAGTCTCTGTGGATCAATATGTGCATCTGCATGTATGTATAAGTTGGAGCGGCTGCTTATACTTTGCCTAAAGAAACTTTAAATATCTACATATTGTTGACGTGCCCCTCCCAGGCAAGCTGTGGGGAATCTAAGTCCCAAATATGCTCTTAGGCTATAGGTGACATTGAAAGACTAAGTGGCCCATTAAAACCTAGAGGAAAGTATCATAATGTCAAGAAATTCAAAACATGTTTCTAATGCATCACTGATTTTTTTTGTTACAAAATCATATTTTCTATTTGTGTGTGTGTGTGAGAGAGAGAGATTTATAGTAAGCTTCAGATCTGAGAACATCACTGTTTTATGCATGCTGACAGAATTCAAGAAGTCTGCAATCTGTCAGAGAGCCTAAGGCAGCTGTCCAAATCAGATTTGTTCCTCCTGTTTCAAACATGGTCTGACATGAAAATCCAAACAGCCTCTGCTTTAGACAACTTTCAAGAACAAAACAACAATTAACAGCAACAGAACAAGCTGATACCTCAACATGCCTTGGATAGCTTGCTGCAATGTGCTGAGATGAAGGATGAAATAAGAACCAAAGCCATCTAGGCTTAAATATTATTATTTGTGGTGCTGTATTTTTGCCGTATGAATATTTTTCATGCATTATCAGCCTCCTTCCCTGGAGCCTATTCTTCCAAATGAAGTGACCGGTGACCACTGCCTTGAAAGACTGTCATCATTTGAATGTCTTTAATTTAAAGTTAAGCTTAAATTTAAAGCATCAGGCACATTTCTTCTTTTCTACCAGACTTTTAAAATACAATTGAACTCCAACTGGTTTGTGTGTACTCTTTGACGATCTCTTATTGTTCTGTTGTTTTCATTTTGAAGTTACTATCTGTTATTTTGGTTGGATTGTGAACTGCTCTTCAAGCTTTATGTTTGGTTTGATTTAATTTGGTTTTTATTGAAAGACCAGGCAGAACTTCAACAAACATATAGTTATCCACTAATTCATCAAGTGGATATTGTGTCTTTTCTCCCAAGAGCTCAAGACAATGTTTATGGAATAACTCTTCATTTCATCAAACAAACCCCTGTATCTAGGTTTGGGCTGACTGCAAGTGACTGTCTCAAAGTCCCCAATTTCCCATGAATAAGGCTGGATTGGAATCCAGGTCTGTCTGATCTAACTCATTATAGTCCAGCATCTTAATTACTACACCATACTGGCTTTATTGGATGTTGGAGTCCTTCACTTGTTCCCAAATATAGTGCTATAAGGTAGCCCAGCACAATCATGTCCACAACACTGGTGAGGTGAGACTGAATATAATCATCATCCACCTACTGTGTTCATAGTTTATTCTTCATTTATTCAAAATATCTAAATATGTATCCTCTAAATTTTCCAGTTTGTTGATTTTCACAATGCAGATGAGCAAACGGCAATGCAGATGAGCAAACAGCTTTGGTGATCTTTTCACTTATATGTTTGTAATACATCTTCACAATCCCACTGTAATATTACATGCCAATCCATGGCTTCCCTCTACAAGTTTTTCCAAAAAAAAACCCTGCCTACGTGACATAAATATGATGCAACATTTTTCATGAACAGAAAATATTTTAACTTATTTTTAAACAGACCAATATTACAACATTTAAATGTACTGATATGCTTAAGTAGTAAGCTTTTGGATTCCTTATGTACGTAGGCAATACTTTCTTAAAAGAAAAGATCATGTTCTAAAATACTTGGTTTTGGTTTTCTTTAACTCCTAATACAATAGATGAATACCAATAGATGACCAAGGGACATCTATTATATATTCTTCCTAATAGAACTCAAAAGGTGCCTTTGAAAATGCTAATATTTTATTCTATCTTTCAGAAATGGCTTTCATGGAAAAAAGTGTGAGAAAAATCACCAAGGGAACCATACACACTCATTGTCTTATCCTCTTTAATCAAATTAAAAAGTTGCAATTGTTTCATGCCTTGCCAAAATCTTAGTTGGTTTTCTTTGATTTTCTTTTACCTTCCTTCCCTAATATTTGTTCCCCAAGTGTGGACTCTCTCTTAAACAAGCAAAACATAACTCTGGAGAAGTTGAATCTCTCTTCTCCAATGGACATACAACCTAGTGGAAAGTAATTCTTGGATCAGCTAATCAGAATCCAAGCACATATTATCAAGCAACACTTACAAGAAAATCCATATTCATTCTGGGTTCTCTGTTCAGTTGAAATAGGGTAAATGAAACCTTTAAAAGAAAAAAAAATGGGAATAAAATCAAATTAACACAGGGAGCTGTTAAACACACACGTTCACACATACGCACAATTGTACCCAAATACTTTAATTTAAAAATAAAACAAAAGGAATGGAAAAGAAAAAAAGGGAACAAAAAGAAAAAAACTCATGGCATTTTAGAATTCAGAATCAGCACACTATTATAATTTTGCATCTCCTGTCTGCTCAATAGTCTTACTCAGAATTAATAAGTAGACAGATTGAATTTCAAAGCCAAAAATTGGTCTCGAGTCACTAACTTTGGAGTGCTTAAAGTCTTTCTTTTATTGAGCATAAACTCTAATGGATCTAATTTATTTCAGACATCAAGGATCATTAGCATATGGAAAGTCTTCTTCCTCCCAATTTCTGCCATATGCGTTAATTCCCAGGATATATTCAGCAGAGCTCTAAATAGTTTTTTATTTAATTATAGAAGCTAGCTGCTGGTCTAATAGGACTGCAAGTGCCTTGTCTTCAACGGTCAAAGGTTAAATATCCATTTACCAAGTGTTCAACCCATGGAAAAGCATCATTCCCTCCACTCTTCCTTTTTCCCCTAGATTTCAGAGGAATGGTTTTTAACCTTCCTTTTAATAGAAATCCAATTCTGTTCTCTGGGGAGCAAGCAATTTGCCAGAGAGTTGGAAAAGGCATGTGTTCCATTTGAGATCATTAGAAAATCAATAGGAACCTTGACATCATAAAGTAATTTATTTCGGATTTTGAAGCTTTGTGTAATATTGACAAAACTATAACACAATTTTTTTCCCTACAAGAAACAAATAGAAAGAAAAGTGACTTTCTCCTGATTTTTAGTGATAATGCAATTCTCAAGCAATCTATTTTTTTTTTTCTTTGAGCAATTTGCTCTGAAGCTGTGCAGTAAAGAAAAAAAGGTGTTGGGTTTTTTTGTCTATGCCAACCGAGAAACATTTACCTGGAACCAAATTCCCACTGTGATGAGTGGAAATTTTACTTCTAAGTAAGCATGTTCAGAATCAAGTAAACAGCTGTTGGAGGGGGGCGGGGACGCTGGCTTACTTAAAAAAAGGAACCAAATCCCAAAGAAAATTGAAATGGATTTTTTTTCATCGTAAAATATTGCATTCCTAGGCCTATCAGCAATTAAATTTGAAGGCATTGTAAAATACCATGAGAATGAGATTGAAAAACAGAAGACACTTTCACAACAGAGAACTACTGAGAAACCATACATAAATTTCAATATAATATTACTTAGTATTTGATGACTGAAAATGTTTTTCAATCAAGGTAGGCTATACTGATATAGAGAAATGGCAACCAAGTTTATCCACTTTCTTATAGAATCCCTACAGCATGGATCTATTATCTTCAAGGCCCACATAGTTCAAAGTATGAAAACCAACAACTTTAACAATTTTCATTCTTTAGCATTTTCAATAAGGAAAGCACAATTTATAATATTTTTACTTTCAAGTTACTTTCTCTTGACCAAGTAGGGCAGGGGTGTCAAACTGGATTTCTTTGAGGGCCGGATCAGCAATGTAGTTCTACTCCGCGGGCCGGCTGTGGGGGGAGATAGGACGGACATCTCCTGAAGCACCTGCTGGCCAAAACAGGGCATGGGGAGGCTACACGCAGACCCCACACAACCCGTCTTTGGGCTGGAGAGCCTCCTGCAGTATTTAGCCAGCCAAAACGGGGTGTGGGAAGGCCGCACACAGCCCCCTGTGCCTTGTTTTGGCCAGCAACATGTTGCAGGAGGCTGTCCAGGCTGAAAATGGGCTACACTCCTTATTTTGGCTGCCAGAGGCACCGTGGGCCAGTCCTTTGCTATTTCCAGGCCGGCTCTGTGGGCCAGATTTAAGCACCCCACGGTTGGCCTGCAGGTCTTGAGTTTGACACCCCTAAAGTAGAGCAAGACCATTTTTGCAGCCATCCTTCATAAACTAGGGACATGCTACACATTGAGCAAGGGAATTCCGCTGCATATGTAACTGCTGATGCTCAAATGTTGCTCCACAAGTAGCATTTGGAAAGACAGGATATGCTTCTCTAAGGCACCAATCTACACAGACCTTTTTATAATCATGGCTTTTTTGCACATGGATTTCAACATCAGTATGTAAAACAATGACGCATATTGTGGTATCTTACATTAATTACAATAAGCTTCAAGAAATGTAACTTTCTTTTTAACAAAAAAAAAAACCTCACCAAGGTTCAACTTACGAATTGCTGAAATTGAATCATTATTAGTTATGAAAACACTGTACATCATTCTGAGAATATGCATGACTCTGCTCTTTAATAAAAAAAATGATTTCAGCTGACAGCATTTGGAACTATCCAGCACCTATTCTAATATACTTCCATTATGAAATGCTCCTAACTTATGTATTTTTCAGTTTCCCAATTTTGTTTGTTATGCCACTGAGATTGGCATAGGCACGTGTTCAGCTGGTTTGGACTAGTTCTAATGATCTGGTAGGGGCGGTCAGCAGTTGGCCCCACCCACCCACTCACCCTTTCCTGTCCTATATTTCCTTTATTTGTAGCTCATCTGATAGGCGCAGCAGAGTGGATTGCCATACCTCAGCTGTTTTACTCACCAGCACTGACAGTAATTGCCCATTTTAGAACGCTCCGTGTGTGCCCACAGAACCAGTAGTAAAATATTTTGAATTCCACCACTGCATGTGTTGCCATGTAGTTCCTCAGACACTCATTCTTCTGTCTCCCTCCCTCCCCGCCCTCTCTCTCTCCCTCTTTTGCAGCTCAGCTGAGAAGTAACAAGAATTGCTAAACTAATTTTCCATTGCTATGCTGGCTTTATAGAACTGCTGCTTCAATTCTGAGGTGCTGTGATAGTACTTCAAGGTAAGTCACCTTTCCCATAATCCAAAAGTCAACTTCCTGAATAAAGACAACAAATACACCCACACTGGGAAGCCCCAAGCCAAGCACAAATTCGAGGTATAGCTACAGGTAGTCCTGGATTTGCTATTGTAATTGAGCCCAGAATTATGGTCATAAACAAGTCAACACATAACCGACCTGATTTTACATTTTTTGCGGTAGTCATTGAGCAAACCAAGGGCTTGTTAAGTGAAGCCATTTTTTGCCGGAAACCAAAATTAAAGTGCACGCTCACAGAACAGGTTGTTAAACCAGTTGCAGCCCACCATTGCCTATACCCCAGCAACTAAAACAATTATTGCCTGTTTTATTAACTGTTCTGGGGGGAAAGTAACTTAACAAACCTGATTCTCTTCATTGCTGTTTCTGCACACCTTGGAGAACAGGGACTGATTTTAAGAATTTGTCATATATTAAAAACAATTGTTCCTACAGCATTTCAAAAGGTTTGGACCAGCAAAGAAAATATTGTGAGGATACACATGATTGACAGTTGACAATTGCTTCCGCACAAATATGAGAATTTCAACAGCTGCATTTACCCCTCTTCTGCTTCCCTATCTGATCTTTACATAATAAGAAAGGGCATTTTCCTCAGATAATGAGGCAAATCTGGTGAGATTAGTACCTGTAATAACAGAAAAATGACTTTTCTCCGAGCTTCAAAGCGAGAGCAGGCAAAGCTGGGATTTGTTCTTCTTCCTTGATCTATTTTGCTCATGGTGTCAGCACTACTGCATGGTAAGTACCTGGGGTTCTTCTGATAACACTATCACATTAAAAAAAAACCTCAGGTAAATGTATAAAAAGCTGCTGCTTAATTTGACTCCATAATAATTTCTGGCACTGCTGAGACTTGAGCTGCTGAATTACAGCCAGTGACTTGCCTTGAGAAAAAATGTAATTTAAAAAGCCTCAAGTGTTTCTTTAAAAAAAAAAAAAGCAACATATTTCCCATGGATTCTGTAATGTTTTTCCCCCTACCTTCTTATGACTTTACTACTAGAATAACTATAGTGCGATCAGTACAATGCTTAACATATCTCCCTGCATTTAAATTAATGAATTGAATTATTTAAAATCTGGGAAATTAATTCTTACAGTTTCAAGGAGGAAAAAGTGGGACAGGGTTAAACTTAAAAAGCTTTGTTGAAACTCCAGTTATCATTTATATTTTTTTTTCTTAAATTATAGATAGAGTTAAAATATATTTGAGTTTTTATTTTCTCATTCCTTATCAAAAGTCAATCTTTGGAGGTCTTAATTGCTAAAGTCTGCCATTCTCCCATTTTTGCAATAAGGTCTCATGAATAGATCCAGATGGATGCAGTAAACTAGAGAGCCATCAGCTTAACATCAATAGCTAGGAAAATCCTGGGAAAGATAATCAAGCAGTGAGTTTGTGGGCATCTAGAAATGAACAAGGCGATTACTAGAAGCTAGTGTGAGTTTGTTAAGAACAGATCATGCCAGAGAAATCTTCTTTGATAAAGTGACTAAATTAGTGGATCAGGAAAATGTGGTGGATATAATATATTTAGATTTCAGTAAGGCATTTGATAAAGATAGGCTACCTTTTGGTGAGATAGAACAAAATGCTGTTACATATAAGCTGGGTTGACAAAATCAGAAAAGAGGAGATGATAAGCCACATGGAAAAACCAAGAGAAATCATCAAAATAATTAAAAAGTGGAAGTTATATTTCGGACATGTGATGTGATACCTGGAAAAATATGGCATATAATCATCCAGGGAAAGACTGAAGGCAAATGAGGTCCAGGCAGAAGAACATCATGGCTTCAAAATCTAAAGGACTGGTTTGGACAAAACTCAGCAGCACTTTTTCGTGCGTCTGTTGATAAAAAATAAGATTGCCAACATGATCGCCAACGTCCGGTGATGGATATGGCACAAGAAGAAGAGGAACAAAATGAGATAGTACCATCATCACTCAGCATGTAGTCTTCAATGGAACTACATCCATGTAGAGGGAAACATGCCGGTGTTCTTCAATTTGTTAAATGAACTAGATGAGGGGATAGAAGGGGAGCTCATCAAATCTGCAG